AAACGACTGATTTTTGCGTCAATGATGGTCAAATCGTACGATTCACATTTACAAAAAAAAAATATGCGCATCAGCCTTGACCAGGAAGGATGTTATATGGGGTGAACTTTATGACTTGGTCGGCCGATTTCGTAATAATTGGTGGTTACATCGGTTTAACGAACGACCAATGTTTCGTTTATCAGGCGAAAAAACAGCTGGTTTTCGAGCCGTCTATGACCTGCATTAGACTGGGAGGATTAATTACCCCCCTTGAGACAACACAGATAAGTGAATATAGGACACAGGACAGCTCTGAATTTCTGATGATTTTTGCACTTATTGAATAGATATAACAAAACTCTCCCAATGGTATCTTCACTGATGAAAAGGGAGCAATTAAGAGAAGTTTGTTGTTAGGGGTATATGTAATTTATAGGATAAGTTAATCTTTTGCTACAAAATAATAAATGCACATTTTTTTTTGCAAGTAAAAAAAATGTGCATTTATTATTTTTTGTTGCGGGAGCCTGTAAACCATTGCACCAGCGATCATCAGATCGCTAGTGTAATGCAGGTCTCCTGCAGACCTGTCAGTATATCTGCTTGCTCGTATGGGATGTACAGATATACTGACAGAAAGAATCACTGAACTACCACGGCGTGTCACAGCACCATGGTAGAAGTACCACAGAAAAACCCCTGCTAACTATCAAAGTGGGAGAATGGAGGGAAGCAGAGGGCGGTCTGTTCATAACATGTTACACCCTGAATATGGCTGGAACCTGTAATATGTTATGAAAGGTGAACTTATCCTTATTTTTCCAAAATAAAAAACATGTTATACTTAATCGCTCTGCACAATGATAATGCACAGGGAGACCCTGAACCTACTCTTTTGGAGTCCTCCACCGGTGCTGTACCCTGCTTCTTACTTTGGATGCCCCCATAGCAAATTGTGTGCTATGGGGCCACCGGTGCAGGTGCACACATAGCCCAGCTTGGGCTCGGGCACGGACACCCCCACTACCTGCACTGACAGCAGCAGGAGCCTCTGTGAGACCAGGAATTAAAGGGAGAAGAGCTGCAGCTGGGACAGCGCTGGATCATAAGAGGACTCAGGTAAGGCTAGGTTCACACCTATGCAGTTTGCATTTGATCTGTTTCTGCAGTGCTTTTTGTGGTGCGTTTTTGCATATGCGTTTTGATTTTTTTTTTTTACTTGTTGCGGGGCAGAATAAAACGCAAAACGCATCAAAAACGCACTACATTATTATTATTATAATACAGGACTTATATAACGCCGACAGTTTGCTGAGCGCTTTACATTATGGAGGGAGACAATACAGTAACAATACAGTTCAATACAAGAGGAATTAGAGGGCCCTGATCCTTGGAGCTTACAATCTAGGAGGAATCCCTCTTGTATTGAACTGTATTGTTGCTGTACTGTCTCCCTCCATAATGTACAGCGCTGAGCAAACTGTCAGTGCTATATAAGTCCTGTATAATAATCTAGGACTACATTCTTTTCTGCAGTGTCTCCATGGAAATCTATAGAACCAAAAACGTCACGTTTTGCGTTTTAAAAAATCCCTGGCCCTTTCCAAAAAATGCACCAGGTGAAAACGCGGAGATGTGAATCTGTTTCATAGGAAATCATCTTAAATGGACTGCTGTGCGTTTCTGCAAAACGCAATGGAAAACGCATAGGTGTGAACCTAGATTAAGTGTTTAGGAATGGGGGGGGGGTGGAAAATGTATTGGAAGGATTTTTTTTTTCCTTAATGCAGAGAATGCATTACCATAAAGAAAAAAAAACACTTTTTGAGTTTAGAACCACTTAAAACTAACCCTTAGGGCTGGTTCACACTATAGAAACGCAGTTCAATGCATTCCAGATGCGTTTCCACATGTGCGTTTTTGACGCATTCTGGTGTGTTTTTTCAGCATTCCAGTTCCTTTTTTCCCCTCTCTTTATCTTCAATTTAAATAGGGACATGTGCGCTCCAGTGCATTTTTTATATGTTTTGGAGCGTTCCAATGTGTTTTTGATGCATTTTATTGCATTCAGTTCTGTGCAGAAAAAATGCAGCCTGTTCTACTTTTTTTTCTGCAACAGGAACTGCACGCACTGATGTGAATTATGACATTGACCACCATATAACCTACTTTCTGTGCATTTTGGATGCAGAAAAAAAGCAACTGCAACCCATGTAGTATGAACTGGCCCTTTATACAGCCATGGCTTCTATGAACTATTTTATCTCTGCCTCCATAGCCTATAAAATGTACTCCCGACATATTCCTCTGCAAATGAGAATAAATGGCAACAAGAGCCGTGTTAATCACTGCATGGTAGCACCAAGGTGACTCATTAGTATCGACAATCAAACAGATTGAGCTTATTACCTACTAACTCAATTATATCGAGCAGTAAAAATAAATCCTAATGAGGAAATACCCTGCAAAAACATATAAACATAATGGGAGTTATTTACTAAAACTGCATGGTGCAAAACCTGGTGCAACTCTGCATAGAAACGAAAGACTTTGGGGGGGATTTAAGAAAAGTGGTGCTCACAGAATCTGCTGTAGCTGTGCATAATAACCAATCAGCTTCCAGATTTTATTGTCAAAGCTTAATTGAACGAGCTGAAGTTAGAAGCTGATTGGCTGTCATGCACAGCTGCATCAGATTCTGGGTGCTCCGGTTTTAGTAAATCTCCCCTAATACATCCAAATTTAATCAGAAAATAAATCAATATGTCTGTAAAGTTTTATTCGTGAGCAATAGTAGAAATCACATAAAAGCCACTGTGTCGCATTGAGGAAGGGCCCCTGCGCACCCCCAAAACGTTGGCTTTGTTTGACCCACATGTTACATGAATAAATATGTGTTGGTGTTCTTCTACAGTGCAGTGCTGGTGACCTTCTTCCTTGTACTGAGGGTTTGCACAGTGCTATCTGATATGGTCACCTGTGACTAAGCCCTGTGGTTGGGACGAAACGCGTTGAAGGTATGATCTGGGAGGAGTCGGGCTGAAGCTTCTTTTATTCTTCCTTACACCTGAGTTGTTGCTTTGGAGTGTGACGTTCCATCCTCCCTCCTGGGATACGTCACATAAATATCCTAGGGGGCTGCAGAAGAGGAAGACGTCATTCTAGCCTAGGCAAGAATCCTGGGAGAAAGAAGCGCATGGTTTCTGTGCTGAGAGTGCTCCCAGGAAAGGACAGCTCCCACTCTCTGATAATGACCAAAGGCTTGCAGGATTGGCTCATCATCTGACAGTGGTCATGTGACCAGGCATGCCTTCCATTCCTGCCCATAAAGACCCAGTTATAAGGCCTGGTTCACACCTATGTGCTTTTTAGTGCATTTTCCATAAACTCTCTATGGTACACTCTGTGGTTCCCTATGGGTCATGTTCACATCGATGCTTTTTTTCACTGCTGCATTTTGGAAAGGGTCGGCAACTTTTTAATATGCAATTTATAGTGCATTTATGGTTTAATAGACTTCAGGGGACAGAAACGTGTGTAGTGTGTTTTTGATGCGTTTTGCATTTTTTTTGCCCATAGGAAAGTATTGACTTTTATTCCACTTTCATGCAGCTTCGGATGGGTGCGACTTTGATGCAACTTCGGATGGGTGCGACTTGGTGCAACTTCGGATGGGTGCGACTTTGATGCAACTTCGGATGGGTGCGACTTTGATGCAACTTCGGATGGGTGCGACTTTGATGCAGCTTCGGATGGGTGCGACTTCGATGCAGCTTCAGATGGGTGCGACTTTGATGCAGCTTCGGATGGATGCGACTTTGATGCAACTTTGGATGGGTGGACTTTGATGCAGCTTTGGATGGGTGCGACTTTGATGCAACTTCGGATGGGTGCGACTTTGATGCAACTTTGGATGGGTGCGACTTTGATACAACTTCCGATGGTTGCGACTTTGATGCAACTTCGGATGGGTGCGACTTTGATGCAGCTTTGGAAGGGTACGACTTTGATGCAACTTCGGATGGGTGCCACTTTGATGCAGCTTTTGATGGGTGCGACTTTGATGCAACTTTGGATGGGTGCAACTTTGATGCAACTTTGGATGGGTGCAACTTTGATGCAACTTTGGATGGGTGTGACTTTGATGCAACTTCGGATGGGTGTGACTTTGATGCAACTTCGGATGGGTGTGACTTTGATGCAACTTCGGATGGGTGCGACTTTGATGCAACTTTTTTTTTCTAATAGCAAAGTATGACAGTTCTGTTCATGTAGTGCCACTTTACACTCTCTGGCACTCAAAGTGACATCCAAGTCATACTCATCCAAAGTCACATCACAGTCAATAACATTCCTACTGGCAAAATCAAAAGTGTGTGTTCAAAAACGCAAAATGCGTCAGAAAAATGCATCAGCAAAAGCAACATGCAGAGCTGTAAACCTCTGGACGCCAGAGTTGGGTGGAAAGGGGTCATTTTTTTATCTGATGGATCAAATGATAACTAGGCAATGTTCTAGTTTTGGACACCTGTCAGGTTTTTATTGGTGCCTGAGCCCGTTGGGGAGATCCGCTTTCCCTATTTGTCCCTTTGACCAATATCAGAGAGGGAACCCTACATTTGAAGTGGTCATCAGAAAAGGAATAGAGAAGAACTCTTCCAATGGGGACACTAGTTCTTTGGAGGGATTTCCTCTCACTTCCTGTTTTGGCAATGGGACAGGAAGTGAGGATAAATCTCAATGGGATACGGGTGGCAAAACCCACTGGAGGTTATATCCCTCTCTTACTTATCCTAACAAAGGAAGTTCTGCTTTGAGTTTCGCTTTGGAAGAAATGTGTGTCGTGAGCTGTAGTTCTGTTATAACCTGGAAGAACAATCCACACTACTACCAAACATCTGCTTCTGCCCGCCCCCTGGGTGCCTCTCTAAGACTACATGTCCCATCATGCACCAGCGTCTTATGTCATCGGAGGCGTGGCCGCTCCCAGTCGCAGTGTATAGTAGAGCTGGCCGGTCATGGCGTCCTGGGCTGGAGGGGTTCGGGCGGTGCTGCTGGACGTGAGCGGTGTTCTGTATGACAGCGGGGGTCCGGAAGGGGGCGCCGCCATCCCCGGCTCTGTGCAGGCGGTCAACAGGTGAGGCGCACGAGACCAGAAAGGTGGGACGTGGTTAGGACATAATGGGCGGGGTTTTGTATTAATTTATAGGCGTGGCGTACTGTGAGGTGAGTGGGATTGGCCGGCGTACGGGGGGCGGGTCCGGACACGTGCTGTGTTGTGATTACAGATGGGATCACTGATTGGGGTGGAGCAATGTACGGAAAGGAAGAACCAATTATCATTCCTAGAGCATTTTACACGTCACATCACAGGGAAGTCTGATTGGTTGAGGTGATAGGCTCCAGTACATAATCTCTGCTGTGGGGATGTATGAACTTTACTAGGAAGCTTTTTATACCAGAGTATGGGGGAGGAGATTTACTAAAACTGGAGAGGGCAACATCTGGTGCAGCTGTGCATGGGAGCCAATCAGCTTCTAACTTCAGCTTCTTCATTTCTTTGACAATTAAAGCCAGAAGCTGATTGGTTCTTCTGCAGAGCTGCACCAGATGTTGCCGTCTCCAGTTTAAGTAAATCACCCCCTATATGTCACCAACCCTACTGAAGGCAAATGGTCACACGGGTAGCATTGCTGAGCCTGCTTGTTCCTCAGGGGTTGGTGCCAGCTCTGGGGTGGAGCAGTATCAGTTGTCATGACATGTCTGTAGATGGCTTCTGACAATGGCAGCCTCCAGCGCTGGGGGAATCTCTAGCTGTGACAGGAGGCCGCCATCCTGACCGTTTCCCTTTAACCACTTGCCTACCAGGCACTTATACCCCCTTCCTTACCAGGCCAATTTTCAGCTTTCAGCGCTGCCGCACTTTGACAATTGCGCGGTCATGCAACATTGTACCCATATGAAATTTTGATCATTTTTTTCTCACAAATAGAGCTTTCTTTTGGTGGTATTTAATCACCACTGGGCGTTTTACTTTTTGCGCTATAAATTAAAAAAAGTGCAAAAAATTTGAAAAAAAAAAAAAGTTTATTTGTTTCTTTTATAAAATTTTTCAAACAGGTATTTTTTCTCCTTCACTGATTTGCGTTGATGAGGCGGCACTGATGGGCACTGATAGGCGGCACTGATGGGCACTGATAGGCAGCACTAAAGGGCACTGATAGGCAGTACTAATGAGGTGGCACGGTGGCACGGATAGGGGCGGCACTGATATGCAGCACTGATAGGCGGCACTGATAGGTGACACTGATGATGGGTACTGATAGACGGCACTGACTGGCATCACTTCTGGGCACTGACTGGCGGCACTGACTGGCACAACCCCTGGGCACTGACTGGTGGCACTGACTGGCAGCACTGCTGGGCTGCACTGGTGGGCAGCACTGGTGGGTGGCACAGGTGGGTGGCACTGGTGGGCACAGGTGGGTGCACTGGTGGGCACAGGTGGGTGGCACTGCTGGGCACAGGTAGGTGGCACTTCTGGGCACAGGTAGGTGGCACAGGTGGGTGCACTGCTGGGCACAGGTGGGGGCACTGCTGGGCACAGGTGGGGGCACTGCTGGGAACGGGTGGGCGGGGCTAGTGGGCGCACTGCTGGGCGGAACTTGCGGGTGTCACTGCTGGGCACCGATCATCAGGGCACTGATCATCAGTGCCCTGATGATCGGTGCCGATCCCCGCTCTGACAACTGCCGGTTCTCGGCAGTACTTTCCTCACGATCTGACAGCGTGAGGAAAGTGCAGCCGAGAACCGGCACTTGCATTTCCCTGTGATCAGCGTGTCATTGGACACCGCTGATCACGTGGTAAAAGGCCGGTGGGATCGGCCTTTCACCACATCACGTGATCAGCTGTGTCCGTAGGACACAGCGATCACGGAGATCGCCGGGTGCGCGCCCCCTGGGGCGCACAGGAGAGCGCGTTCTGGGAGGACGTCATATGATGTCCACTCAGAACTGGCCGGCCGCGGTGAAGCCGTCATTCGGCTATGCGCAGTCGGCAAGAGGTTAAATACCCCTTGTCTGGAGTCATGTTCATTAGAATGGGAAACGGAGACATTGTGCATATCATTGGTACCTGGCCATGTGGATTCCTGCTGTGTAAGTCGTATTAAACCCAAAACTAATATTGCAGCTTACCAATCATTAAATGTGGTGACTGCATTAGTTTTCTATTTTAAGCTTTTTCCTCTGTTTTCACCTGGTGATCTGGACAGAAACACACCTTCTGTATTAGAGTGCCTGCACTCTGGATGAAGGAGCACAGGGGCACCTTTGGACAGCAACATTGTCAGCCTGGGGGGAAGGACTGTTAAATATACTAGCAGATTTAGTCCATCCTTGACATTTCCTTGCCACTAAATATTCCACAGTCAACTGTTAGTGGTATTATAACAAAGTGGGAACAACAGCAACTCAGCCATGAAGTGGTAGGCCACGGAAAATGACAGAGCGGTTTAAATGACACAGTGCGTAGAAGTCGCCAACTGTCTGCAGAGTCAATAGCTAAAGATCTCCAAACTTCATGTGGCCTTCAGATTAGCACAACAACAGTGTGTATAGAGCTTCATGGAATGGTTTTACATGGCTGATCAGCTGCATCCAAGCCTTACATCATCAAGTGCAATACAAAGCTTTGGATGCAGTGGTGTAAAGTATGCTGCCACTGGACTCTAGAGCAATGGAGACGTGTTCCCTGGAGTGACTAATCACGCTTCTCTGTCTGGCAATCCAATGGACATGTCTGGGATTGGCAGTTTCCAGGAGAATGGTACTTGCCTGACTGCATTGTGCCAAATGTAAAGTTTGGTGGAGGGGGGATTATGGTGTGGGGTTGTTTTTCAGGGGTTGGCTTGGCCCCTTAGTTGCAGTGAAGGGAACTCTTAAAGCTGAGCTCCTCCCAAAAGGGGAATTTCCTCTTTAAGCCTTTATCCCCGCCCCATTAACGATTGGCACCTTTGGGAAGCAGGGTTGGGGGGAGCAGGTACCTTAATTTGACAGGTACCCGCTCCCACTTCTGCTGCGATCGCCTAGGCTTATTTTAATTCAGGTGGAACTCGACTTTAAGGTGTCAGCATACCAAGACATTTTGGACAATTTCATGCTCCCAACTTTGTGGAAACAGTTTGGGGATGGCCCCTTCCTGTTCCAACATGACTGCACACCAGTGCACAAAGCAAGGTCCATAAAGACATGGATGAGCGAGTTTGGGGTGGAAGAACTTGACTGGCCTGGAGAGAGTCCCAACCTCAACCTGATAGAACAGCTTTGGGATGAATTAGAGCAGAGACTGCAAGCCAGGCCTTCTCATCCGACATCAGTGCCTGACCTCACAAATGCGCTTCTGGGAGAACAGTCAAACATTCCCATAGACACCCTTCTAAACCTTGTGGACAGCCTTCCCAGAAGAGTTGAAGCTGTTATAACTGCAAAGGATGGGCCAACTCAATATTGAACCCTACGGAGAAAGACTGGGATGCCATTAAAGTTCATGTGCGTGTAAAGGCAGACGGCCCGGCCCAACATGTTTGGCAATATAGTGTACATAGGAAAGTATATCATATTTACTTGTTCTATACTTTTTTTTTTTACATTTCTTTAGTTCCTTCTTAGTTTCCAGGCCTAGGCAAATTATGTCATACAGCCCAGGAGTCTTCAGGAGCTGAGGAGGGGTTTTCTCAGCGAAGCTTATATGCCTGAGCTAAGGAGACATAGATTTCAGGGAGTAAATGCTACATGAATCATATGCATCTACTCAAGATGGCCATGGCCAGAAAAGCTAGGGGGTGTTTTTCAACGTGAAAAATAATATTATAGCATGGAGCAAAATAAAGCACAGAGACACGGATTGATGGGTGAGTGTGCTTTGAATTTAAAAATGAATTAAATAGTGTTTTTGGTATGTGGTGCTCAGATAATATAGTTCTGCTTTAACCTCTTTCCTTCCACCCTATAGCAGAAATACTGGGCAGGAGGGCTGTGCGAAGTCCCATATATATATATATATATATATATATATATATATATACGTGATTTGAGTTTCCAGGTAGGGGGTGCGCCCACGCACATGCCGCCCTACCTCCACCACCATTGGCGGCTACGAAAGTCAATCACCAGATCCAGGCCAGAGATTCTCCGCCAACACCAGGCGAAGTAACATTGACAGGGGAGAGACCTATGCATACACAACACAGGACTCTCTCCTGCCAGCAATAACATGCTGCTGTGTATTTCTCTGCACAGCAGAGAAATACACAGCAGCATGTTTCCTTAGTAAAACTCACACAGCACATGATGTAAAACAGCACACAGTTAGCCCTTTGATCGCCCCACGTGTTAACCCCTTCCTGCCCAGTGTCATTAGTACAGTGTCAATGCTTTTTATTAGCACTGATCACTGTATTGGTGCCACTGGGGATGTCAGTGGCAGTTAGTCAGTTCCCCCAGTGTCAGAATGCCCGCTGCAGTCCTGCTATAAGTCGCTGATTGCCGCCATTACTAGTATGAAAACAATAATTCCAGTATATAAACCGCCATTTGTAGATGCTATAACTTTCACATAAACCAATTTACATGTATTAGGATTTTTTATTTTTAGCAAAGACATGTCGCAGAATACATTTTGGCCTAAATTTATGATGAAATTTTGATTTTTTAAAATGTTTTTTTACTGGACATGTTTATAACAAAAAGTCAAAAATATTTTTTTTTTTCAGAATTGGTGGTCTTTTTTTGTTTATAGCGCAAAAAATAAAAACACACAGGTGATCAAATACCACTGAAATAAAGCTCTATTTGTGGGAAAAAAGGACATAAATTTCATTTGGGTGCAGTATTGCATGACCGCACAATTGTCAGTTAAAGCGACGCAGCGCCGTATCGCAAAAAATGGCCTGGTCAGGAAGGGGGGGTAAATCCTCTTGAGGTCAAGTGGTTAATGTCAACAAAATCGCTCATCAAACACTAACCAAGACCGTTCTGTTTTTTGCGTTACAGTAATTATTCCAGTAGCCAAATCCTTGTGTGCCCGGAAACTGGAAGTACTGTAACTGGGCTGCGATGGCTTGGTGTCATCTGT